ACGTGCGCTTACCTGTGCTGCGTCTGGTGCATGGTTAGTGTGAGGACCTGGTGACTGGTTGGTGTGTAGTGTGGGAACCTGGTGATTGGTTGGTGTGTAGTGTGGGGGACCTGGTGATTGGTTGGTGTGTAGTGGTGGTGACCTGGGGGACCTGACTGGTTGGTGTAGTGTGGCCTGGTGATTGGTTGGTGTGGGGCCTAGTGTGGGGTGTAGTGTGGGGCCTGGTGACTGGTTGGTGTGTAGTGTGGGGCCTGGTGACTGGTTAGTGTGTAGTGTGGGGGACCTGGTGATTGGTTGGTGTAGGGGCCTGGTGAGTGGTTAGTGTGTAGTGTGGGGACCTGGTGACTGGTTGGTGTAGGGGCCTGATGATTGGTTGGTGTGTAGTGTGGGGGACCTGGTGATTGGTTGGTGTAGGGGCCTGGTGAGTGGTTAGTGTGTAGTGTGGGGACCTGGTGATTGGTTGGTGTAGGGGCCTGGTGACTGGTTAGTGTGTAGTGTGGGGACCTGGTGACTGGTTGATGTGTAGTGTGGGGCCTGGTGACTGGTTGGTGTGTATTGTGGGAGGATCTGGTGACTAGTTGGTATATAGTGTGGGGGACCTGGTGACCGGTTGGTGTGTAGTGAGACTGGCTGGAGCGAAGGCTTCCACTTGTGTGAGTGGCGGTTGTGACACAGTGGCTGTGGTCTCACTGAGAACCTCGGACAATAACACAGCATGGAGACGTGTGTACTGCGTGAACTGGCCGAGCTGTGGGTCGCCTGGCTGGCTGGGGCAGGAGCTATAGGTCCCGCGCTCACCAGAGCGGGACTCGCCCCAGTGAGGACTGTCCAATCAGCGTAGCAGAGTGCAGTGGACTCCCTGTAGAAAACAACACAATCCAGATGACTGTGACCTAACCTGTGGTGGTGGTGGCGACTTTTAACTCTTTCTCTCTCTCTCTCGGTGTTACAGAATGAGTGCTTTGACGAGGCCCAACACTGGAAACCCCAAAACGAACGTTTAGACAAAAAAAAAAAAGGCAAGGTATGTTACTTTTAGAAGTTTGGGATTCTCGAGTATGCTATTTAGTTTTTTTTTTTTTGCTCTAAAGAGATGAAGAGGAGAATGTGGGTGTATTCTCCTGGGGAAAACACACCCACATTCTCATAAATATTAATTGTAATTTGGACACCATCATGTCTAGAAATCTTAACAATAACATTTTTTTCCCTCCATGCTTATAGAAATGATATAGTAAATGTTGGAGTGAAGCCCTTCTGGAAAATACATATGAGAATTATTAGGTTAATAAATAATAACAGACGGATCTCTGTCACATATAAATTTTTACCAAAAAATGCAGCTGGCAATCGCTGTCTAAGATTATTGCAATCATTTGTCCCCGAGACAAGCATAACAAAACAAAATGAGTCCTAATCGTTGACATGGCACTGTTGGGGAGGTCGTTGGAGGGAGGGTTGACCGGTAGTGTTTATCAGGTCTTAGATCGTCGGAAGACAGGAATGTGGCTCTAGGGAGAGTGGCGCTAGCGCTGAGCAGCCCTGGGTGGCTGGGAGAACACTGGGTGCTGGTGAAGCACAGCTCTCAGGTGTAAGAGCGGCAGGAGAAAGTGAAAAATATAATGACGTAAAGGCGAATTAGACATAATTACTAGAAATACAATACATACATTCAGAGTGAGAGTGCTTGCGTACAAAATACAATTGATGTATTTTTAGGAAGAGTGCTTGCGTACGCAATAAGATAAATATATATATATATATATATATATATATATATATATATATATATATATATATATATATATATATATATATATATATATATTCACTGACGCTCACATTGGGCTGCATTTCACATCGATGGGCACAGATAGTTTGTGGAGGAATATTTGGAGTTTAAAGAAGTAAGAAAACTGTAAAGTGCCATGTCTTAACACGGGTGGACATGTTGTGTAGTGCTAGTGGTCTCGAGGTGAACGTTAGATGAAGTGCGCTAACACGACGAGTATGTTTTGTGAGAGGTCGCCGAGCATCACCTTGAGCAGTACTTGAGGGAAAGTGTATCACCAAGTGAGGAAAGTCGCAAGGAACTTTCCAGGCAGTAAAGGCAGCTTATTGAAAAGTTATTAAGAACAGTTGACAACCTATGTACATACAAAAGGGAGTTTCATGTTCGTAAAAAGATACCCGAGATGGTGAAGACCTAGAACTTGTTTTTGGTTATACATATTGCTGCAAGGCACTATGTAACAATGTGTTTCTACGTTTCATCAACTCACACAGACTCGCTCTCTCTCTCTCTCTCTCTCTCTCTCTCTCTCTCTCTCTCTCTCTCTCTCTCTCTCTCTCTCTCTCTCTCTCTCTCTCTCTCTCTCTCTCTCTCTCTCTCTCTCTCTCTCCAGGGAGAATGGAAAACAATGCCTGCCTTCTCAAGTCAGTTTTACATAAACTTAACATATTTTTGTTTCACTTTCTTTCACACAGTAGGCCTATCTATGAATATTGCAATGGCCCTCACCATGTAAAAGATGCCTTCATATTATTGAAATTGGCATGTCTTGTAGCATCAAGGAACCCTTTCAACCCTATTTCATGTATAAAGAAACACTCCGTAAGCCTATGTCATGAAATATGGAGGAACACTCCCTAGACCTATTCAAGATCACTACTTATCCATACATAATTACGAATTACAATAATATTATATCCACTCTATCATTAGTCCCATTTACTAACCTTACATATTACCGTAGTACACATATATTACCCTAGTAATCTAAGTAGCTATGTATTAAACTCATATATTTATGTTTGTCCAGCAGGATCGAGCTTTAGCTTTCGGACCCCGCCTTTCTAACCGCCGGTTGTCTAATGTAATGACTCCTGACATATTTTCCTTTTACGAATATAGTTCGCTAGCACAACTAACAAGATCTTAATTGTTTGAACTTTGCAGAGTAAAGACAAGAAGGAAGTCCAGCTCCGGGGCTGCGAGGACTCGAGGACGGAGATAAGGTCGTACTCAGGAGCTATAGGAAGGTCAGGACGAAGCTCAAGTCGTCCTTAACGTCATGGCCAAGCTAATTCTTGTCCTCAGCTGTATCCTGTCACTCGTCCTCGGGTGCAACATATCAAGTGATGATGCAAGTATCATGATGATTAATTTCCTTTAAGGTGTGTGTGAGCCATCACGCAAGATGGCTAGTCGATCATGCCATGTGATCAGTAGTCTACACTGGCAACCTTTAGGTGCATTATGAGGATATTCTCGAGAACACCAGAGTCAATAATGTGATTGGAAAGCTCCTCATACCGGCAGCTGTGTAGGGTCAAATGACTGGACATGCAATAATGTTGTATGCGAGATCATGCCGCAGTTCCTGCTCACAGAGTATGCACCTGGAGTGCTCAGGATTGGGAGATCCGTCACCTGTAACCACCTGCCACAGGTAACGATAATCCAACCTGATCCTGGCAACCACTGTGTCGCACAGTCTGGTCGACGTTTTGTGCTCTCATGTGCATAAATATCAGATCTAAACAAATCATAGCTTTTTATACTAGTGCTTACGGGCCTTTGGGAGTCTGTGGTTAGCGAGCAGAATGAAAAGTCAGCACTGTGGAGAAATGCCCAACAGACCACTGGAACATTACCTAACACAGTGGACAGTTACAAACCAAATAAGATTTCAACCGAGTTTTAACAGAGCAGAAGTTGTTGTTAAACACACAGGACAGAATATCACTGACGCGAACATACCAGTCATAAATGCTCATACACCGCCTAAGTAAGACAGAAACGAGAAACGAGTAACACTTAGTAAGCCAGCCATTGGCTTGGGGCCCGAGCAGGAATATCCATGCTAAAAAAGGAGCAGAATTGTTTATCTCTGAGCAATGCAGGCGATGTAGGGTCTCTCATGACTTTAATGCAAAAGGTTGTATTGACATATTTAAGTATGTGGTAAAAAAACTTCAGTTTCCTTCATGCTAATAATTCTTGTACTTTTTGGGCACCAAGAATCACCCTCATGGCTGCATTCTAGTTGTATTCCAGTCTGTATGGTATACAAACTGGAATACAAGCCTCATGGCTTGTATTCCAGCTTGTTCAAAATAGAGGTGAAGTTAACTAGTTGAAAGACATGATAATCAACTAGGGATCTAATCAGCATCATATAATATAGTGTAGCATAGTTAACATTGCTACCAACAATCTTGTCAGTGGGTAATCTCAGTGGTTTATGTCTTGTAACCTATGACATGGGTCGTATACAATGACCACCGTTGATACATAGGGTTCCAAGGTATTTTCAGATGTGTGGGTCGGATACCTAATTTTCTGCCGCGTTATTGTGACTTACTGTTTTCAGTTTCTTGGTTGTTGACTTGAAAAACTAGAGTGACGTTTGTTCTCTTGTAAGAATGATGAGCTTTTGTTATAGCAATAATAAGCCGTCATTCAACGCTTTTAGAAGCAAGAGAATCAAGCAGAGCTTGAAATCGAATTTGGGTATTTGCAACAATGCAAATGAATCAGCTTAACAGATGACAGCTTCTTTAGCCCGTGTGGGAATATCAGTAATTTATAAGTGCATCAAAATACTGAGCAGTGTTAGGTTTAGCACTCCACCCTGGGGTGAACCCGGTTCAAAGAGTGCAAAATTATTACTTTTAACCTTCCTTGGAAAGGACTGAAGCGGTTCTGTAACTCAGGAACCCCCTGAGCCATGTCAGTAGTCTTCAAACTGTTGCTTTGCTAAACTGGCTTTGTCAAAAGCAGTTTGGAGATCATTAAATGTCGCTCAAGAGTTTGGTCCTTGTCTAATAAATTTTCAGCAAAGTAAGTTTAAGTTCTTCTCCCGCGAGAACCATACAAGTCAGGAACAAGTTGGGATCTAATTTGAAACATTAACCTGTCGGGTATAACCCACTCACGAACCTGACACATTCAGGATATAAAGATAATGGAGCTAATATGAGTGTGGTCCAGACAGGAGGACGGTGGCGGCGCCAGGCGGCCATCGGGAGACTCAACCCGCCCATCCCTACTTCGCTAAGTTACTACCCAGAGCAGTTTGGGGACCCCCTTAGCCCCACTACCAGCTCCTACACCCAAGGTGGGTCAGGTTCATTGATTAAGATTAAGTCACCCAAAGGTGGCACGGGCATGAATAGCCCGTAAGTGGTCAGGTTCAGTGCCGTCTCCACTTATGTATGAACTTCTCTCTTGTATGAGCACTACCTTGCCTATCAACCGACTGCCTTATCTGCATTTAGTTACGCGTTAGGGCAGTATTTCACTTCTTCTAACAATATATCAATAATTTGTCCATCTGTCAGGCAATTGTTTCTTATCTATTTTTTGAAGAGTAGAACTGGAACAGTTTGTCTCCCAAAGTGTGCCAGTTTTTTTTTTTTTTAACTTGGTTGAAGTAGGATTCCAGACGGTCTTGTCTTGTCTAAGTGTTCCACATATATCTCTACAGGCAAGTGACCAAGATATTCCTTCCTAACTCTACCAACGGAAGTGATTCCAGACAGTAGAATTTATACAGTAGATCAACCTTATGTTTGCTGCGTCTGGTCCATAATCATACGTGCCTCTTTCCATTCGTTATTAGTACGATGATACACGCTGTCATTTCTTAAAGAATATTAAGTACCAAATGTTTCATCAGATCACATTACTTCCGTTATGTCATCATCCGGACTGTTTATGTACCAGCTTAGATCTTTCCATCTCTTTTTTTTTACATTTACACCTTGCACCTACTTGGCTCATCAAGTCATTTTGTTTACCGGTAGTTGAGCATATCTTCATACTGTGTAGTAAGTGTTGATGCTGGTACTGCAGTCTCCGACGAGCAGATTGACCTGTGTGATAGAGAAGAGGTAAGGATGCCCGACGGGAGGTGCCACAACCTCCTGACGCAGGGACCGTGCGAGGTGACGGAGGTGGTGCTGCTTGACCGGGAGACCAACCAGGGCTACTGCGCCCCGAGGCTCTGTGCCCCGGACAGGATCTTTGTCTTCAGCGACCAGCTGTGTCACGACCCTCGTTCCAACAATCTGTGCCCCCGTACGTAAACCAGCCATTTCACGTTAGTTGTAAAACATTTGTGGGAAAAAATTAGTGGGATTTAATAATTACTGCAAATGTTGTGCTTATTATCGTCACTCCTCACTGGTGTTCTCTGCCCGTGACGCCGCTCTCAATACCGCCCTCCATGGTGACGTTATCCTGGCCTTGTGTACGGCTGCCCTTCGTCAGCGGGTCGTCAGCTGTACCAGTCGGCGTTCGGGACGCCCGTGTGCCAGTGTCCGGACGGTACCTACGAGACCAGCGACAAAGTTGAGGAAGACGTGTGCGAGCCCCTCCTTGGCCAGTCCCGCTTCTGCCCGCCAGGACAGGTGAGAATCAGGAAAGGGAGAGGACTCATCTGAAGGGCAAGTATTCCCTTACAGATTTAGACTGAGCTGCTGAGGGGGCTAGTTTGTGTCTACTAGGGGCTGGGTAGGGGTTAATGAGTGCTGGTGACGATACTTCAACAGGTAGTAACGACATTCCAGCAGGTATTGATGACTACCTCCTGCAGGTGCTGTGGTTCCGAGACTTCAACCTCCCGCCGGAGTGTCTCCCAGACCCCTGTGGCGGTGTCAACCTCAACCGAGGACCCAACGATCTCCCCTTCGTCCCCTCCGCTGATGGCAGGTGCTTCCAGCTCGGACAGGTGAGTTACTGGAATCACTAGCTAAGACATGTAAGCCACATGTCGGAACCAGCTAGGAAATATGAGCCACATATGTGTCACTTGCAATGACAAGTAAGCCACAGGGTCTACCAGCTAGGAGGGTTACAGGGATAATAATCAGACGGAATAGTTGAGTAATTACGCCTTTATGGAAGATCATAATTACCTTACTGGAGCGCCATATAGTGTCACCACCATTTCAGTTATTGTTACCGGGATACAATGTTGAAATAGCGGGAGCTGCCATTACAGAGGCAAAGGTACGCCACGAGGCACAGCTTTCTCTGGCACTCTCAGCTTGCTTTTCAATAGTTACTCAATCATGCCTCAGTCGGTTGTTACATAGCACAGCTGACTCCCTCAGGTCTAACCTACAGGTCAGTGGCCACTATTCTATACATACAGGCCCCTGACCCAGTCGATGGAGGGCAGGGAGATTGATGCTGCTTGATTGATTGTTCCAGTTTCTCTCTCTCTCTCTGTCTCTCTGTCTCTGTCTCTGTCTCTCTCTCTCTCTCTCTCTCTCTCTCTCTCTCTCTCTCTCTCTCTCAAGATTTACGCTCATTTTGGGCATCTTATTTTATCTAAACCAAATTCCTGGTTCTTCTCTGTTCCTGCCACTTCCAAAATTATTCACTACTCTATCTGGTACCTACATTATATATTATATATATATATATATTATATTTATATATATATATATATATATATATATATATATATATATATATATATATATATATATATATAATGTCGTACCTAGTAGCCAGAACGCACTTCTCAGCCTACAATGCAAGGCCCGATTTGCCTAATAAGCCAAGTTTTCATGAATTAATTGTTTTTCCTCTACCTAACCTAACCTAACCTAACTTTTTCGGGTACCTAACCTAACCTAACCTATAAAGATAGGTTAGGTTAGGTTAGGTAGGGTTGGTTAGGTTCGGTCATATATCTACGTTAATTTTAACTCCAATAAAAAAAAATTGACCTCATACATAATGAAATGGGTAGCTTTATCATTTCAGAAAAAAAATTAGAGAAAATATATTAATTCAGGAAAACTTGGCTTATTAGGCAAATCGGGCCTTGCATAGTAGGCTGAGAAGTGCGTTCTGGCTACTAGGTACGACATATATATATATATATATATATATATATATATATATATATATATATATATATATATATATATATATATATATATATATATATATATATATCCCCAGAGATTACATTAAATTACAAGCACAAAATAAAAATAAAATTAATCTATAGAATGCCAGTCATTACACCATTAAGGCCCACCATAATGCATACTAACTAACCAGCAAATACACTTTCTCTTGAACTTAAACCAAGACTAAAGAAAACTATCAGTGTATATTCACCAGATACTCTCGCCCAGTGCGCAGAATATTCAACTGTAACATTAATTCATGTATATATTGTGTATTATGCATGTGCATGTATACTGTGATTGGCACCAAGTAACCAGGCTTAAAATACACGGTGTTGATGCCATATGGGATTAACTCAGTAGGAGGGCATAACAGACCGACCTCTCGCTACCAGGCCAATAGGCAATACAAGTTCCTACCACTTTTCACCAACTCCTAAGCCTGTCATACGTCAAGCACGAACAATCTGTGAGTCCTGGGCAAGCTACGTAAGCAGATAGTAACGAAATTCCTTCACCACCCGTGTCACTATCTAGGACAAGTAAGTACAGATGCCACTAGCTAGGACACATAAGCTGCAAGTGTAATTAATTAGGACAAGTAGGGTACAGGTGTCATTAGCTAAGACAAGTAATAACAGATGTCACTAGCTAGGACAAGAAAGCTACAAGTGTCACTAACTAGGACAGGTAAGTCGCATATTCTATTGAAAAGTCTCACAAGTGCAAAGCCTATGGGTTAAGGCTAATACAAATTATCCCCACAGATGAGCGGTGTGTGTCCAGCGCAGACCTGGTACTCCCTGGCCCTGGACCGGCTCCAGGGCGTCTGTTCCACCCTCGAGGACGCCGGCTACGAAATCTTCGACCCAGAAGCTCTCGCCATCCTCATCCACATCTATGGACCTCCAATCCCTAGAGAAACAACGCCGCCAATACCCGTGCCTGTGCCAGACGTCTATTCTGAGCCCGAAAATGTCGGCTCTAGGCCATACGGTCCATCATATGGGTATGGCAACGCTCTATACTCGAAGAAAGCAATGGGCTCATCTGTTGGACCAAGCTATGGCACTTCCAGTCAATCGCTGACGAACACAAACGTTGTGAAGATGAATCTGATCGCACGCCTGAAGGGCATCATGGAATCGATGTATGGGGCAGACCAGAGCCTTGACCTCCTGCAAGCTCCCAGGGGCACCAAACTTCACGAGATATTCAAAAAGTTAGTCATATATTATGTCTTTTACATGAATGTTTGTTCACTTTGCTATACAACGCTTAAAGGCACAACACATAACTACTATTGTAACTGATGGATCGTAATTTGAAAAGGTACACATACACTATTATACTGCAAAAACTGGCATTTGTAAGTCTGTGTGGATTTTGACAGTTCTCAGCCTCTACAGAGAGCCTCCACATCTTGTTATTATCAGTAATAACAATGTGAATACATTGGATGTGTGTTTTATACTTTGAGGAAGAAACACCTTCAGTTAAACAGTTTAATTTGTTTGCCAGTAGCATGAAGCAATAGTAGTGAGATGATATAACATTAGAGTGGGTTGTGGACTGTACTGCCGGCCTTCCAAGCCTGTATGGTTGTGTTGTTAATATTGTAGAGTGAAGGCCATTATGAGCGACCTGGTGAGTGGGCGGAGTCACCACAGGAGTCGTCGCGCCCCGCTGCCACACGCCACCCCTGGCAACGTCATCGAGACCCGACTGGTCGGTTGTCGTGCGGGAGCCCAGAGGGACATCAACGCCAAGTGTCGCGACACGTGAGTCTTAGTACTGGCCGATCAGTGGTTACAGGGACGTGAGGTCTAGCTCATTATGTCCTGCCTGATGGCCTTGTTGTACATGTTGCATTTATAATTTAACTAGTCTTTGTCGAATCTGGTCTGAAAGGTTGTGTATGAAGATGGCTTCCACAACCTCTTCTTTCAGTATATTCCTATTGTTGATTACTTATACAGGGCACTAGAACTTCCTGATATTTCTTTAACTTTTTTCTATTTTATTATTTTTTGCAGTATTCTGCCGGCACGACCTCCGTTTGACCGGGTCACTCGCGCTGCGCCGCCCGTGCCGCCCCAACCTGGCTGTCCAGGGGTAAGTATCCAGCCTTGAATTTTGTCTCTGTGCCTTCCGTATCCCTCTGTTTCCTCCGCCAAGTTACTTTGCCTCCGAGTCCTCTCTCTCTCTCTCTCTCTCTCTCTCCTCCGTGTCCCTTCCCCCTGTCATCTTCGGGACCCCTTAAATAAAAACTCAAGTGTCATGTCAACAGTTTCTCACGTCCCGTATCTGAAAGAGGACACCCCTCAGGTGTCACCCCTCAGGTGTTACCCCTCAGGTGCCACCCCTCAGGTGTCACCCCCTCAGGTGTCACCCCCTCAGATGTCACCCCTCAGGTGTCACCCCTCAGGTGTCACCCCTCAGGTGTCACCCCTCAGGTGTCACCCCTCAGGTGTCCCCCTTAGCTTTAACAGGTGTGATAACTCTTCACTCATAGGCCTGACAGATGCCCAAGTTAACATTTTTAGTCCTGACAAGTGTTTCACCCTTTTTCTCTTAACACACTGACAGGCGTTAATGGAGCTGTCACAAACACCCTCCCGTGCCACAGTGCATGGCTGAGTCTCTCTCTCTCCTTCCACAGGGCGGGGCGTACACTCTGCAGCGGACCTGTTCGTCGCCAAACAACGCCATCAACTCCATTAACGCCTTCAACCTTGGATAGAGAAGGGACTAACTAGGTTGTTGTTGTTGTTTGCTGGTGCGCTGTTGCAAGCGGATCGCTCCTGAGTACTTTCATTCCTAACTGCATGGCGTTCTTACGGTTATTGCCACATTATCTTCCTCGCAACCCTCTCACCCTCTCTCATATCTCTCCCACCCTGTTACTCACAACCCTCCCACCCTCTCTCATATCTTTCCCACCCTGTTACTCACAACCCTCCCACCCTCTCTCTCATAACCCTCATACCCTCTAACCTTCTCACATCCTGCCTATCCTGTCACAAACCTTTTACAACCATTTCACCACTGTTTCAAGTTGTTACACAGAGTGGAAGTGTTGCGAGTCACACCCACCCAAATTTCCCAGATCCCTCTCCCACTGTATGGGCACCTCTCCCACACTCCCATTCTCCTGGGTCTTCTTCCCTTACTCTTATATTCATCAAGACACTTCTCTCAGTGTCTTTATAAGGTCTCCGTCCCACAGTGACGTACTACACTCACTCCCACGGTCTAGGGTTATCTCTTTAGTGTCTTAGGTGCCGACCGTAGCATTCTGCATTCACAATCGACTTAAGAATGGTCCAGAACGGACCGAAACGTCGTCGTCCCTTCACTTTCTAGTGTGTGGTTTGGTAAACATATTTCAGCCACGTTACTGTGACTCTTCGTCTGCATTCTGCGTCTCTTCTCCACTGTCCTCTAGGTCTGTTCCATAGTTTTAATACTCTTAAGTATTAATTAATTTTTGTTATGTTAAAACTTCAGCAACAATAATAAAAAGGAGAAAATCCTAAATATAAAACGAAAATAGTGATATAAAACGAAATATAAAACGAAATTAGTGAAATATAAAATAAAATTAGTGAAATAAAACGAAATATAAAATGAAAATAGTGACATTAAATCCCCGAATCTTATCCAACTTGGTAGATCAATTAATATAATAACAAAGTGAAATGTAAATAATTTACTGGGTACTGGTACTTCACAGAGGGATTTACTCTGCTTTAAGCTCTACTTAAACGCCGCAATGCAATCTAAAAAGGAAGATAAATAAGAAGAATAAAGGTGAGGGGGGGAGGTGATTCCAGACACGTGGGTCCCCACACCAGCACCTGCTCTTGATTTGCCACAATGTGCATAATAAGGGGGTACTAAAACGCACGAACATTAATCACCCGCCTAACCTTAACCTAATCTGCGCAAAGAAAATGTGGATATTTGTGAGCCGTTGATTTTCATAGTTACCCCTTATTTTGTACGTTGGGGGACCATGGTATGCATAATGAGATGAATTAGATCAGAGGACAGTTGTGAGCTATACCTTCCTTCCACCCAGCTAACTTGCACACAAATACCCTCCACCCACTTCCACACAACCACAAATACTCTCCACCCACTTCTAAACACTGACCCAAACACACTAAACCCTCTGCTACACACTCAGACGAACCCTCCACCCACCTCTACACACTCAGACACACCCTCCACCCAACTCTACACACTCAGACACTCAGTTAAAACTTTACTTTACAATTTGCCACAAGTCTTTCTTTATTATGGTAAATTATGTTATTCATTATGGTAAAAGTGAAAATATTAGTTTTGTAACTATTTCTATATATACTAATTTATAAATCAATTAGTACAATGCTGTATCTCTACTGAACTCCACATAATTAATACTCTTAGTGGACCAATCTCCACCACCATTTACCACAATTCCACCACACGCCTGATCCGCAGTGATTCATCACCACAACTCAAACACGCTGATTATAAACACAATTACCCGATCATAATTACAGCCCCACAATTACAGTTACCATCATGCACACCTCCGCCAGGGGTCCCCGGCACGGAGAGGTCACACTCAGAATACCTCACATTTCTATGTAGAATTAGTTCCAAAAAGGTCATCACAGTTGGATGGAACATATTATTTTTTTACACTCACTCTTTGACTCGCCAAATTGTTGAAGGCCGATGGAAGTCTACCACGAGGCTGAGGGTTACTCTCCTGGTTTCTATCCACGGGGACAGGCAGCCTGTATATGTATATACGTTAGGTTTACATCGAGGTCCCAACTTAAGATCGAACTACTGACTTCCTAGTTTGCAACCCCCCACAACAGCTGCATAACTCCCGGGTACATATTTACTGCTAGGTGACAAGGTGTATTAAGTGAAAGTAAACGTGTGCTAGTTCAGGCCAAATACAGGCTTGTGATCTTGTATGTACATAGTGTTCAGACCATGACCCAAGCCAAGTGCATCCTAATGAACACCAGCTCGGAATAAGCTAGGACCTCTGAACACAATTAACGGGGTGAGAATATCTTGAGCTACCTCAACCCGGTGTGTCTGTATTTTTACCTCAATAAACTAATATGAACACAAAGAATCCTTAGTAAAAACATTCATTGCTGAGAATTGGCTGTGCTAATTCTCAATAATGATTGTGTTTACTAAGCTCTAGTCCCTCCTCCCTCAAGTGAATGAGGGTGTTAATCTGCACCCGTACAATTAACAAATTACTATGAAAATAGAGGCTCAAAAATCCACGCTTTCTATGCATCGGTCGATTAAGTTAGGTGGGTGGCTTGGGTTCGTATGTTTCCTTCTCGATAAGTTAGCGCTTTGCATTTTGTACATTGTGGCAAATCACCCAAAATATACAAGACTAGGCTGCTCAAACATCCTCTCCTCTCATTCTCATTTATACAGCTCCTCTACACCTCACAGTTACTCACATGCATACAAATATACCATTCTAATACTGTTTACATTAAGGCCAATTGTCGTCTAATGGTAGAGTGTTGTGATGGGTTGTTTGTATTGTTTATCAGCTCTCTCTTCCTCTACTTCCCATCTTTATCAGCTCCCTCTTTCGTCTCTTATCACTCCGCTGTTCCAATTACATTACCCACATAGACTCGTATATTTTTGTATCAGTTATTATCCCAGCACTTCTCCTGGTTACTCTCCGCGCGTCTTCCAAGTGTGTGGTAACTTTGTTTACATTCTGCCACCAAGTACCGATAAGTGTTCTCGTTCATCCTGGAAGTGTTAAATAACTGGACCATGTTCGTCCTGGATGTGTTACATAATAAACTTAACCTTGTTTGTCCTGTATGTGTGATATATTATAAACTGGATCATGTATCATGTCTCTCATTTTATCCTTTGTGGAATATTCTTATATCCTTGTATGTTCTGCTCTTTCAGTACACACTCATGATTCTTGGGCCTAAAACCTATCCTGGCCAAGTGGCAGAACCAGCAGAGGTGGAAGATATCTTAATTATTCACTTGAACTTTAGTTAAGCACTCTAAACACCTTCACTCCTCACTCTGTGTACGTCACTTAAATTAACCGATATACACATGTAATATGTTAGAAATCTATTTTCACTCAATATAAAATTGACACAAAAACTTGGTTACTCACACAGGAATTTAAGTTAGTAACTCAAGCTGACATTGGTCTTCCGAAGTCGCCAGGCCAGAAAGTCATAGACAAGGCTGCTGCCTGTCGCAGCGAAGACTTCCCGTTCTCTCCGTGCTGCCTCCAAGCACACGTTGAAGTTCTAGTTTCCAGTTATTGCACCAGTATTTATAAGCTAACATCCTTGAAGCGTAGCACAAATATGAAACAATACCTGCGATAGATTAAGGTCTTCCTAACAAATCAGCAGACACACGCCTGGTGCACTCTACTGGGAGTCTTGACTGCAAGTACAGCCTTTATAGAATTTATAGAAGCATTTATAGAATTGTGGTTCGAACAGAGGACGTCAGCGAAGCACTTTTTCCCGAAGAAATTTTCTCCAATATAAATTAATATTATAATATATTAGCATATTGTGTATATATAGGCATTGGTTAGGTTAGGTTAGGTGTTTAGGTTCTGTTCGAACGAAATCAGTTGTGAGTCGTGTGTAAACCGTTTTTCATTCATAAACAGCGGGTTTGGCGGGTGCACGGAATGGATTTTGGCCTTTGTTTGGAGCACGGGCGCCTCATCAACAAAAGCCAAATGCTCGTTAATCCAGCCGCCAAATCCCCCGTTTATGAATGAGAAACGCTTCACACACGACTCACAACTGATGTTCGCACTTTTCTCGATTATGCTTCACTGACGACCTCTATTCGAGCTCAGCCCGTCCTCCAAACAAAGACCCAAAAGTGATTCCATGCACCGGCCAAACCCCCTGTTTATGAATGAAAAACGGTTTACACACGACTCACAACTGATTTCGTTCGAACACTTCCGGAACAAGTGCTTCACTGACGAATTTTGTTCGAACCACAACGCTGTAACTGCTTCACCCACGTACTACAAATACAAATAATCGCCAACAGAACCTAAACACCTAACCTAACCTAACCAATGCCTATATATACACAATATGCTAATATATTATAATATTAATTTATATTGGAGAAAATTCCCGTTTTGAATGAATAGCATGTTAAAATTTATGAATGCGTCTGTGGGGTTGACCGCTGGATGTAATGGACTTGAGTCGAGGACGGGTTGCCAACCTTACGCCTAACTATACATAGAACTTTAATATATTATAATAACAATTTACATACCTGCTTGATGGGGTTCTGGGAGTTCTTCTACTCCCCAAGCCCGGCCCGAGGTCAGGCTGGACTCAAACTGTAATGATCCTTCCTTACGATAACAAATCTATAATAAATGCACAGTACAAAATGTCTCTTTCACCCTGATACCCCTGTTACCTAGAGGTAAATAGGTACCTGGGAGATAGACAGCTGCTACGGGCTGCTTCCCGGGGTGTGTGTAACAAAAAGGAGGCTTGATCGAGGACCGGGCCGCGAGGATGCTAAAGCCCCGAAATCATCTCAAGATAACCTCAAGATAAGATACATTAAAATTGACGAATGCGTCTTGGGAGACTGGCCTTACCTGAGAACAGGTTGAATTTGAGTTAATAAGTCGCACTGTTAACGGATTGGTCAATCTTTTGAAACACGGGACGTATCAGCTAAGAGGACAGACTGCTTGACGGGTCGTCCAAAAGGGGCTTATCGCCTATCATGCCGGAGACACAAGCTTGTACACCGTGGCGGGCAGGTCGTCGACACACGGCCAGTATCAGCCCAAATGTAATGGGAAGAGACATGAACACTGGCAACTGAATAGCAAAGAGTGGGAGGGGGCAGCAAGGGTGCACGGAGCCAGCAAGGGGGCAGAAGAGTCAGCATGAGGATGAAGGGTGAAGGGAATGAAGGTTACATCTCCGAGAAAGTAACACCAGAAAAACTGTAGTTGATGGTAGTGAAGGGACACGTGGAGAACCAGTTTATGTGAGAGAGAGAGAGAGAGAGAGAGAGAGAGAGAGAGAGAGAGAGAGAGAGAGAGAGAGAGAGAGAGAGAGAGAGAGAGAGAGAGAGAGAGAGAGACGAAAGATTAGCAAATGGATTTAATGTTGAAAAATACATGGGTCTGAGGCTAGGTAGTGATGAGTAGAGTTACAAGATATCAGCTAAATAGCGCAGAAATACCAATGTCAGAATAGGAAAAAGAGCTAGGAACAACGGTTAGTACGGATCTAAAAAATCAATGCATAAATACTCAGGATAAGGCAAATATAATACTGGGATTTATTTATAAATGTTTTAGCAATGAAACAACTAATATTCTTCACCAGCTATCCTGCTCTAATCACGCAGTCTTTCTTGTAAACATATGTTGTTAAATAAGACCGAAAATGTGACATTAATAATTCTAACACGAATTTACCCAATATTTCTTATGTTTCTTTTTACTGTGGATGGTAATTGAAAAATCAGTTCTCCAAAATTCATTTTTATTTCTAGTCTGACGCGACGCTTGAACGCGTTTCGTAATAACTTATTACAATTTCAAAGACTTTAGTTTACACACACAACTGTAACCTGAAAACACTAAACAGAGTTTCTCTTATTCTAACACTTAAAAAGCTTATCCGTCTTACATATACTCACACTTGGGTGAGGTGATATGGTGCAACAGTTTTGGATGAGGTGAACAAATTTGTGACAAACGGAAGACAGAACACGAAACAACGGGTATTAATTGGGTGGAAGCAACTGCAGAGGGCCTATTGGCCCATACTTCCTCTTGATGCTTCTATATGGGTTCGGAGTCTTGAAGTGGGTACAATATAGTTGTGCATAAATTGGTTGTTTACAATTACACATCAAAAAGTCAACACCAGCAATCAACAGCCAATTAATGCAGAGTAGATGTAGATCGAACACTTCTTTCTTAGCAGACGCCATAGAGACATCTTTGATCGACTTGAGAATGGTCCAGGACGGACCGAAACGTCGTCGTCATCCCTTCACCTTCTAGTGTGTGGTCTGGTCAACTTACTTTAGCCACGTTATTGTGACTCATCGCCTGCATTTTTAACACTCACTTTCTTCAACTCCTAAACACACGTCAGTCCGAGGTCCTCTGGCGTCTTACACGTGAGGAAGTGCCATTCACGTTGTTATCAACACGAGGAAACAACTACAATCTTAAGCTGTTATATAACCTGTGAAAATGTACAAGTCACTGGTGACCTTCACCTTCGCTTTCCTCCTGCCTCACATTTGTTGCTCCACCTGACCTGTTCTTAGTCTAAGCTGGCCTGTTCTTAGTCTAAGCTGGCCTGTTCTTAGTCTAAGCTGACCTGTTCTTAGTCTAAGCTGGCCTGTTCTTAGTCTAAGCTGGCCTGTTCTTAGTCTAAGCTGGCCTGTTCTTAGTCTAAGCTGGCCTGTTCTTAGTCTAAGCTGGCCTGTTCTTAGTTTAGCTGGCCTGTTCTTAGTCTAAGCTGGCCTGTTCTTAGCCTAACCTGACCTGTTCTTAGCCTAAGCTGACCTGACCTTCACATAATGTGGTGGGGGGGGGGATGATCCATTATTTTTTGTTTCCTACCACAGACGTGGCCAATCATTGACAGTCCTAACCATCATATATACATTGTCTTCTGTGAATAAAGTAATAGCGAAGCTGCAGGTGCCTCATGCCAAGGATTGGGCGCAGTGTAACCTACGCATGACCCGATCCCCTACTGCTTTCACCTTCATGTGCGTTAGTGAAGATGTTAGCGCTGGGAGGGTAAGCTGTTCAGTTGGTGCCTGGCGAGCGTGTCGGTCGGACGAATGGACTCCCTGCGACCATTACCTCTGAGGAAGTGCTGACAGAAAGGTGCGTTGAGTGGGGCCTGGGGACTGACTATAGTCTTCTCTGTGAGGCCTGGTGATGCGTTTTTATACTGTGTTAGGGACGGGGGAGTTCTTGAGTTCTTAATAGTTGGTGTGGGAGGTGTATCGACAGCCCTGTCAGCCATCACCTGAGGCCAGATTCACGAAGAAGTTACGCAAGTACTTACTAACGTGTACATCTTTCCTCAATCTTTGACGGCTTTGGTTACATTTATTAAACAGTTTACAAGAATGAACACTTCCCAGTCAACTGTTGATAATGTTATAAACAGCCTCCTAGTGCTTCGGAGCTCATTAATTGTTTAATAATTGTAAACAAAGCCGCCGACAAAGTGAGAAAAGATGTACAGGTTCGTCAGTGCTTGCGTAACTGCTTCGTGAATTTGAGCCGGGGCCCTTTCTTGTATTTATCTGGCTGATGCCTTAAATGGACCAGTGAGTGTACTTCTGTGGTGTTATTAATTTGTTCCATACAGCTGTAATCCTATTGCCAAACCAGTGTCTTAAGTCTTTGCTTGTTTAATCTAATCTCATCTGATTCTAATCCATTGTTTCGTGTTCTAACTTGGGTTTGATGAGTATGAAGGATATCATTAGAGTTTGTATCAGTAACACTTCAAGATATAAATATGTATACGATTTCTACGCTGAGTCTTCTTGGTTTAGCTCCTAACAAATCATGACTATCTAATACTTTTCATAATTTTATTATGCAGTTTCGAATGCTTAAATAACAAAGGAATTTAAACAGCATCATTCCATTACATCCACGTTAAGAGGTCTTGGACAGTAAAAGTTTTTTTCTACCACAGACGTGGCCACACATTTACAATGCTAATCAGCATATATACATTTTCTTCTGTTCTCCATGGACAGGGTTAGAGATCTGTTAAACATATAGTTCAGGGATTTATTTAACAATCAACCACAGAAGG